TGAGGGGCATAAATTTTCACCCCCCAGGGTTAAGGATGGACTGTCTAAGCTGTCCTTCGGGGGCCTGGAAGCAGCACAGGAAGTCTGAGGCGGCTGGGGCAGCTGGCGATAGTTGGGGGGGCAGGCTCCTCGTCGTCCTCGTCCTCCCTCTCTGCGGAGGCCGTGTGTCAGCGATGGGGCCGTCAACGTGGGCAAGCCTGGCGGGGGTGATGGGGCCGTTGGCGTGGCGAGCTGTCCCGGGCCTCACCTCAGGAAAGCCGGCACGAACTCGGCGGCGAGGATGTTGGGCACGAAGGGCTTGGCGTTGATGTTGAGGTGCCAGCTGAAGGCCGCGACCAGCAGCTGCTTCTCCTCCAACTCCTCCGACTCCAGTGGGGCTGAGCCGGGCGCCCCGTGGCTTCCTCGTCCCCGGCGGCGGCTAAGGCGGTGCTCCCGGGCTCGAGGTCCACCTGGTCCCAGCAATCGGGCGCCGAGTCGCTGCTGCTCCTGCTGCCATTCGCCTCCATTTGGGTTGTCTATCGGCGCTTCCATTCCTTCCTGGATTGAGGGGCTCAATCTGTGATCTGATATTGTATGGGTGGTTGACTTTACAACAGTAGATATCATTTTGGCTCAAGCCAAGAGACAATACAATGCACTCCCATTCAGGTCCAAGTCTCAGAGCAAGTTTGCTAATCTGTTGATCAGTCGGTGATTTCTTCAAAATCTTTTGTGGAAATCTGAGTAGCTGATCATCTAAAACAAACAAAAGGAAAAAAGGCTCAGATTTTAATGCTTACCAAAAGCATTAGTTTCAGAAACAAAACTTAGATTAGCCCTTTATACCAAAATATACAAATTTCTTGTCTGTTTAATGGAACTTGGCCAAAAAAGGATTCAATATAATCATATTTATTATTTCGCATATGAGGAGAATATGATGGAAGAGAAGTAAACATATACACACAATCATATACAAAACTTCTATGGAGGTCTGGTAGTGGCCTCATAATTGGAGGTCCAATTTAGCTATCCAGATGATTGCCTCTGGCATTGCTTTGAGCAGATCTTCTGGGAAACCAGAGAATGCCTGTTGCAGACAATCTTGCACAGTATGTTTAATTGTTTGCATATCAGCACCAATTTGCATCAAGCGAAACCTTTCCACCTCCACATATACATGGCAGAGGCACTTCTTCCAGTATCATACCTAATTCTGTTCAATTTCATCCAGACAGAGTGAGGCAGGTCAAAACCATGTGGTTTTGATTCAATATAATGAAATAGGATAGTAACACTCATAAATAATGTCAATTAAATCAAGGGAAAGCAAACCTGGCAATTTTAAGATTTGTGGATTTCAACTCCCAGTTCTCCAGCCAGCTCTACTTCTGTGAGTTGGAAGTCCACAAGTCTTAAAGTTGCCAAGTTTGGAGACTTCTGAATTAAATAATAAAAAAGTTAAAAAAATTATTTATAGCTGTAATTTAAAAGCCAAAACTCATTAGATACCAAAACTGAATTTTGTAAGTTATTTCCCATCACGTGCATTCTAAAATAGGAATTGCATCACTGTACAGCAGGGGTTCCCAACTCCTAGCTGTGGCCCGTTGATGGATGAGTGTGCGAAGCTTCATTTGCTCATGCGTGGGATTTAGGTTGTGTATGCAAAACCCTTTGCTCCTGCTGTTGAAACTGCTGAAACCTTTGCCGCCAGTCCACAGAACCAAAAAGTTGGGGATCTCTGCTGTATAGGATGGCTCAAGGAAACTTTTACTTATCGAATTTGACACTCATTTTCTGCTTTGCAGTTTGAGTACTATAAAATTGCTTTACAGAATGGTAAGCAATAGAGTGCTACTATAGATATATTGGATTAATTCTAATGAGCATAGTCCAGAGGTGATTCAGCAGGTTCTGACCAGTTCTGGAGAACCGGTAGTGGAAATTTTGAGTAGTTTGGAGAACTGGTAAATACCACCTCTGACTGGCCCCGCCCACATCTATTCTCTGCCTCCTGAGTCCCATCTGATCAGGAGGGAATGGGGATTTTGCAGTAACCTTCCCCTGGAGGGGGCGGGGGGAATTTGAGATTTTACAGTATCCTTCCCCTACCACGCCCACCAAGCCATGCCCACAGAACCAGTAGTAAAAAAATTTGAATCCCACCACTGATAGTCACATATTATGGGAACAGTTATTGAAAATAATTGGAGAGCCAAAAACATCTTGCCTCTATTTTACAAAGTTATTAAACATCCAGGAAACTTCCAAAGGAAGTATGGTGAACTGAAGATGGTTCTGTGAAAACAGATTCAACAAACACAGCAAAGACCAAGGAACCAGTAAGTAGAACCTCTTTAGGTAAGGTGAGAATGGGAGATTGTCCTCATGCCCACGTATCCTGGACAGGTGATCCCTGCAGGGCAGTAATTTTCCACAGGTATCAGTCCTGGGAGATATTAACCATATTGCTTGCAACCATGGAGACTATTAAAGGTTCACTAACCTCACTTTCTTATCACTTGCAGAAATTGATCATTAAATACCTCTAACTTATTCCTTCAACAAGTTTGAAATACTGAGTAAATCTGGCTTTAACGCTAAAGGAAATAAACTTTTAATCATAACCTTAAGAATTTTAAGAATCCAGAATTAACAGCAAAAAACTAAATAAGATTCGGTTGTTAGAAAGTTATAAACAGGAGTCCAAGAAAAATTGAAATATTTAAACTTATAAAAGATTTTACAATTACAGATAGTCCTCAACTTATGACCACAACTGAGCGAAAAAGTTATGTCACTAAGCCAGATGCTTGTTGAATAAATTTTAAGCAAGATATTTGCTAAATGAGCTTTGCCCCATTTTACGACCTTTCTTGCCATAGTTGTTAAGTAAATCACTACAGTTGTTAAGTGAATCTGGATTCCCCATTGACTTTGCTTGTCAGAAGATTGAAAAAAGGTGACCACATGACCCCAGGACATTACACCTATAATAAATATATGTCAATTGCCAAGAATACAAATTTTGATCCCGTGAGATGCCACAATGGTTGTAAAATTGAAAAATGGTAATACATCCCTTTTTTCAGTACCACTGTACCTTTGTGCAGTCACTAAATGAACTATTGTTCGTCAAGGACTACCTGTAATTATAAAGAACAGCTTCTGTTCTTTATATAGATTCTGAATAGATTCTGTTTTGGTTTTTACAAGATACAACAAAGATAAGCAATTTCCTGACATGAACACTAGAGGGGATGAAGGCTTTTAGGAAGAGGAAAGAACTTGAGCCTGTAAAGTATTGCAAAACACTGTAATAATGAAAATAATGAAGGAGATTTTTAAATAGAATAGAATAGAATAAGAAAATAATAGTTACAACATCAATAACGTCAATAATGATGTCTGCTTCCATGGATAGACTATGTCCAAAAGATGTTAGGGAATAAATGACCGCCGTAGAACATTTTTTTATCTGACAATATAGAAATATTAAAGTGGATTCATAATTCATGGGCCAAGAGAATGAGTTAGAAAAAAAAATATTTCACTGGATCTACAAAAGAAACTGGCTGAGGTTCTAAATTTAAAAGTAAACTGCAAATAACAAACCAAAACAGTGATTTCAATAATTTTGTCCTATTGGATCTGTGACAGAAACTTGTTAAAGCCTTGAAGAACTCTGTGCAAAGGAACAAAGAAGAAATGAAATCAAATCCCATAACATTTGAATGAGATAAAGATTGAGACTGTTGGAAGTTATAAAGAGGAATATAAAGACAATTTATTTTAGAGTTTTCGGATTTGCAGACTGGTGGGGGAGGGGGGATGGTTCCCCTCTTGCCCATTGCTTCTGCAGTCCGGTTCCAAATGGCCCAAGGCCCAATAGTGGGCTGCAGCCTGGAGGGATAGGGTATCTCTGGTTTATTTGATTAATGTTAAAACAAGTTATGTTGTTATTTCTGCCAATCCTTTATGGACTTTCTGCTGACACCAGGAGTGAAAAAATATTTCATGGTTTTGTTTATAGATAAGAAATGTATATGGGATGAAGTAATAAATGTTTATAACCTTAGAGGGAGTGAAGAGTCATTAAATTTGTTTATAAGTGTTGTGATGAAGGTCAGAAGTTATTTCTTAGTATATTCTTTATTTACTTACTTATTTACTTTTTAATTGTATTATTATGTTTCTCTTTTTTCTTCCTATTCTCTTTTATTTTTTTAAGTTTAGTTTGTATTAGTTTTTATTATTACAGTCAAAATTCTTAAAAAGAAGGGTATTAAACATCCCCCAAATATTCCATTTATCTTTTTCTTTATGGAATTGAGTACCATTGTTATTTTGTAAAGTATTTCAAACAGCACAATACACACTATTCTCATAATGTTAAATGAAGCAAAATGTTTTTATATAAAACCTACGCAGAACAGCAATGATCAAGTTATGACTCCTTAGACAACACTCTTTAGAGAGCACTTCGTGACATATGTAAATAAAGCACAGTAGATAGACTACTGAGAATAGACTGGATATGACATTACTGTTATTCCAAAGGAAACAGCTCGTCCTTTTAGAAGTCATAGAAACATAGCTAAAAAACAGCACTAAAGTACAACCCACTGCTAATTATAAAAATCCAAATTAAAGTATACAGGTAATTGTCTACCACCCTCTTAAACACATCCAATGAAGGAAAAACTACAATTTCTCTGCACATCTCTTCTTACTGTTAAGAATTTCATAAACATTCAACCAGGCTGTTCCAAAGGTGCTTTTTTCAGGAGGCAACTGGGCTTTCTTGTTTTTTTTGTTGAAGAAATTTCACTTCTCATCCAAGAAGCTCCTTCAGTTCTGACTGGATGGTGGGAAATGGAAGGATTTATATTCCTTGCAGACAGCTAGTCAGATTTATATTCCTTGCAGGAATGCAAATGACCAGCTGTCTGCAAGGAATATAAATCCTTCCATTCCCACCATCCAGTTAGAGCTGAAGAAGCTTCTTGGATGTGAAGTGAAATCTCAATAAAAAAACTAGGAAATCCAGTTGCCTCCTGAAAAAAGCACCTTTGGGGACAGCCATGACCTGGATTACTGAGAATCTCCACAGACATTCAACCAGACCTTGACTTTTTTTTTGTATGGCTTTATTTCAAGTATCTGAAAAGTTTTTCCTCAGTCTTTCTTCCTTAAGGCTAAGCATTCCCAATTTCTGCAACCTCTTTTCATAAGTTGTACACTTTCCAGGGCCTAAATATTCTTACTGCTCTATTCTTTTTTTCCCCAGAACATTTTATTTTTTTTATTCTCTTACATACCATTTTAAGTATACATTCGCATAATTATTTTTCTTGTATTGCTCTATTTTGAATCTGGTTCAATTTATATGAACCTTTCTATGCTCAAAACTGTTTTTTTCCATGGGGGGCTATAGGGAAGCTGACAAAAATGCAGTTAAGGAAGTTGTACATTCTATGAAGAAAAATGGATGGAAACAGAACTGATAAACAGAGAACCAAGTAATAATGCTGAAGTTGTTGAGAAGGTTTGCTTCTCTCCATCTTCTATGCCTTTATCTGGGCATTGATTTCTAATTTTGGTTGCGAAAGTAGCACCCTCTAAGCCAGGCACATGAATAAAAAGGCAGACTGGTTGAAAAGAGGTTATGCTCACAAAAGTAGCCACTATTGGTGCTAATGGAACATAATGGGAATGCCCCAAATGATTCTTAAAATGCCGTATGTTACTTG